CTAGCCAAAGCTCCACTCAGAATGACCTCTTTACCATTCTGAAATATCTGCTGTTCCTCTGAGGAAATCTGCTGCTGAATGTGGTGTTGCTGTGATTTGTTATGAGACACGTTCTCAAGGCCATCCTCTCAAGAGGAGGAATTATCTAGAGTGCTCGGGGGTGGTGGTGAAGCAGGCTGGGAGCTGTACATCCTTGGTGAATTTATAAAGCCCCAAAGAACAGAGATGCAAACCCATTTCATTCAGAGAACTCTATAATAAACAGTGACTCTACAGGATGCTAATTCAGCAGTTTCATTCAGAGTTTCCTGACTCTGCAACTTGGCAAAACACAAGGAATCTCTCCTTGCCAGGCACCATGTAATACAGTTGAATGAGTGACATAAAACAAAGGTAAATGCATTGCCTGGCTTTGAAAGTAAGGTTAGAGCCCGGTAGAAAGTTTGCATCTTGAAGAATATTTGGGCACCTTCCCCAAGGTATTTTCTGCCTGCTTGTCAGACAGTTGGTAATAATTTTATAGTTGCATATGAAGTAGAAACATTCCTTGGGTCACATCCTCCCCAACCACCACAGTAACTCGAGGTGCCTCCTGCTTTTAATCTTGTGGCAAGTGCCAAGAAATAAGGACACCAACTATGGAGGGAGGCAGGCGATGCACAGTGAATTATCTCAGAATGCATCCCAGCCTTTAAGTGCTTCAGAAACCTCTTTAATCTCTTTCAATGGCAAATAATAAAGTAGGAAGAATGAAATTGTAGTCTTAAAACTGAAATTTACCTCCAAGACCATCCTCTTGGGAGATCCCCCAAGTTCAGCCTCTTCCTCTGACACATGAGGGCATGGAGGCTCAGATACTGGAAAGGGTTGGCCAACCTAATGATTGAACTACCAAGATACCTGGCTCTCCAAGGTAGGCTTGTTAGAATTCAGGCTTCCGTATTGCCTAATGGATTGGACACCCTCCTGTCCATCCCAGAAATAGAAAAATCTTTTAATGCAATTTGCAGTGTAAAATGTGCAGGAGTGTGCACACACACATACGCATACACACAGAGATGGGAATAACTATGTTGAGGTCCTCATTTCCAGAAACCAGTTCCTACAATATGGAAAAGCTTTGCCACAAAGTCTGGGGAAGCCCTTTGAATTTATAGTCTGGTCATTCTGGAGGTGTGAACCTAGATTTCCTCAGCTGGATGTTAATATCTGATTAATTCAGGATGCTGATTTAATTTGTGACCTATAAAACGCTATTTCACAGAGAATGGGCTGTGTTGGCATGTGCAGAGCCCAGCTCCCCAGATGGAATAATCTTTTCCTTATTAATTTGCTGCATGTTGCTTCTCATTTCTCACAGTCGTTCCAAATGTGTTACAAACGACTACATGCTCTGGGTCCCGAATCCACTACTGCTGTTGCTTTGAAAGGAAAGAAAAAAAAATTGTTGAATATGAATGGCACTGGGCTTTCCTGGCTCATATTTTTGCATGCTCACTTTCAAACCATCAGTGCACTCTTCTCTTACAACACTAAGCATTGCTCCACCTGCGAGCACCCATCACTTTTGCGTTGTTTAGGAAATGCAAACATAGATGGTTTGATGTTTTCAGGGCCAAGAAAAGAGGTAGTGACATGATTGGGATCAGATCTCAAAGTTCCAAATTCTTGGGATGTGCCATCTTCCTATTATCTAGAACATGTGAAAGGCTGTTTAATCCCCTTAGTCGAATGATCCTCAAATTTGAGTGGGCACAGAATCACCTAGACGGGTTGTTAAAACTCAGATTGTTGTCCTCTACCCCCAGAGCTTCTTATTTAGCAAGTCTGGGATGGGAACTGAGAATTTGCATTTGTAACAAGTTCCCAGAGATGCAGATGCTGGTTGCAGTCCACACTTTGAGATCATTGCATGAGTCTAACTGGAGGAGAGTGTGGGTACTGTTATCTCCAAGTAAACACTGCTTGGTATCTGTTGGAGAAGGTCTCTGCTGGGTAAGGTTTCTGTTTTATGTCTTTTTCCTCTTTCCTTCCTGATATGCACCAAATCCCAGTTTAGCAACTATTTTTTAAATGTTAGGGCTCAATGGAGAATGCAGCTTGACTAAATAAATTTAAATGTGTACTGCAGTACTTGATATGGATTTTTTCAAATTGTGAGCACTTAAGCCAGACGAAAATATTTCCCCTGGGTTCAGACGTTCTATGCAGACCAGCCCCTGGTTTCTAAGGAACCATTTGAAATAGAATACAGTACCAAAGTGCAGCGCTGCAGAAGCATCTTTATGTCCTTTCTAAATGTAGAACATACACCTCAAGCTCAGGATTTCAACTAACACTTTTTGGTCATTTACAGACTTGAGACAAGTCCTGTCATTAACTACAACATTGTGTGTGAGGCTTTTTTCAGGACAGATAGGCTTATTTTTCTAAAGGAAAGGACTTTTGTTTTGCCAGATATAAAATAGCAGTTCACACTTAAATGCAAAGGTCTTGTTTATTGTTTGTGTGGTGAGGTTTAATTGGAAGGCCTGCTTTTTACAATTCCATGGTACTGACGTTACCACGCACACAGGATTGTTCTTAGAAAAGCAAATGCCAGGCTAAAGAGCTCCTAATCTGGTGCTCTGTGCCTTGTAAATAATTAGGGGGTACGGGTGAGGTAAAGGCCTATAGAAATCCTACAGAGTGCCACAGAAATGGGTCTTCTCAATGATGATAATGTGTAAGGTCACAGTATTTTTTCTGTTAATATTTAAACATAGTCTTCAAGTAATTTCCTGCAAATAATCACTTACTAAAAAGGACTTTGCCTTTTATTCCCTACAAATAATTCAAATGGTGGCCAGAATTGAGAGAATGGATGATCATACTCACAAGGCTGGGGATAGACATGCAGGCAGGGTGTTTATTAGAAGGAATGTCCATAAACATGGGCTGGTTTGGAGTGGCTTCACCCACTCTAGTTGCTAAGTTTAGCTATTAGGTGGGGAGTTCACCAACCACCAGTTAGTTCAATGTAACCAACAAAAGTCAGATTCCCAACCATTACCCACGATTGTCCCCAAACCAAGCAGCCAACCAACCTTTAAAACCACAGTTTAAAAACCCACAGCTAAAAGGATGGCCTGTGTTCCATCAAACACTAATTTTGCTGGTCAACATTTTGAGGTTGGATCAAATCTGTGAATGGCTTTTTGCAAGCTAAACACTTCATCTTCCTAAACTTATGTACACATATATTGTTTTTTATCCCAATTAACAGTCTTTACTTAACAATGGTTTGTCAAAATATGCAGCCATTTCCACTTTAACTTATAGACCAGGCTTGATGTTAGAACATGAGGGAGACATGTATGTTTTACAATAAGCTTAAACCTTAACACTACTGGGGGTGCTGGCTGAACTGAGGCAATGCCTGAAGCCATTTGTTGCAGTTCAAAAAGGGTTTGACATTTTATCCAGATCTGGAAGCCACTTAAATGAATGAGGAACAATTTAACACTGACCCATTCTAAGATTTAGTCCAGGTTCTCATTCGGAACTGTCTTATTATTCATAGAATTAGTCTAGCTCATAAAAAGATTTCATAGACACAACTAATCACCACAGAGGCTTATCAGTATGGTGAAAAACAACAGATCAAAGCAATGATCTGAGTTATTTCCAGGCATCTTAATAATTAAACAAGTTTAACTGCTTACTCAATGAATGCAGTACACATTGGTTACTCCTATTAACTCCAAGTTGGATAATTTAGTAGATGTCTCTATTTTGGTTTTTTCTCCAACCTCATCTTCTAATGAAAACTGTCAGTCATGTTTACCAAACTCGTTTAACTTCAAGTAATTTGGATGTCATGTTTAATTTTTACTTTTTTTACTCAACCATTTAAAAAATATTTTGATCCTCTGACTATGAAAATTGGTCAAGCCTGAAGTTTATCAAAGTTCTAATTCCACGGCTAGGCTGTCATGACTGGCAGTCAAGGGCTTCTCTTAGAGTTTAGAGTACTTTTCAAGTTCACTGGACAGATTAGGATAGAGTAATTCATCTCTTTCGATCTGTTTTTCCGTATACACAACACAAGTCAATGTTTGTTATGACTTTCCTGATCCTTATTTATAAGACAATACAAGAGGAAACCATGTGTGTATGTTTAGAAATAGAAATGATACATTGCACAGATATAGTTCACCACGTTATGGGATGGGTTGTCAGTGTTCAAATGGGGAGGCTGAAGAGTAAGAACAGATGCTTTTTTTCCTTAATGGCCCTTTCTCTGATTTAAAATCCTTCCATTTATTTCCCTAAGATTTAGTGATAACTTTAAACACTTTAACTAAATTACCCAGCGGCTTGGCAGCCATCACGGAGGCAAATCCTTTTAGAAATCCTAGCAATCTGTTAGATTGTGGGTACTATGATATAAAATCTGTGTGCTCCACGTACAAAAATTAAATCAGTGCTATGGATACAAATACATACTGCAAATGGCACCATTGCTAAACTGTGAGTATGTGACCTGTCTCCAAATATTGAATTTCTTTTTCTTTTTCCAGTACTTGACTTTCTAAATTTGGGCCAATTTATTCTCATTATCCCTAAGTAAACCTACTTTGATTTTTTTTTAACAGTTATTTTATAATCAGATAGAGCCAGCCAGCCAGCCGTGATTCGTGGATCCTGATGTTGCTAGGATACATGGTTTGGTATCTGATGAAAGTATATCACTTCAAAGGGGTAAAACTTTCAAGTGTCCGAGAAAATGACACTCCCATCTTACAACATGGAAGACAGATCCAATCCTACAACTTCTCAAAAGCTCACAGACTGCAGGATTGGCCTCCCAGGCTTTCAAATAAGTATCCTCTCTGGAGGGCTGTTTAATTGCTAAAACTAGTCAGATTAGTCTTAAAGCAAGGAACACACGTATTTATAATAAAACACGTTTTCATGTTTGTTTTACAGTAAAGAGAAAAAAACCCAGAACCCCCAGATTTTATGTACTTTGAAAATATATTTAAAAACATTAAAAATTCTATATTTAAAACATATATTATATGTTAATTAGTACACTTAAATAGAACTTGTATTTACAATAGGCTTCTGATGCGGTTAAGTTTTAATGCCAATTTTTTTCAATAACATAATTATATAAATATACTAAAATACAATAAATACTGTTTTTTGTTTTACATGGTGAATAATATCTTTACCATAGAGAGAACAAGGCCACAGACATTTACTTACATTTTCAATGGGAATCACCATAAAAAAGCAACAGGCCTGCTGCCATGCATGAAACACTTCTGCCACAAAGAGACCACAGCAAGACTTTAAAAAACAAAACAGAACAAGAACGAACACAACAGAGAGAGATTTTAACAAAATAAATCTTAGGTCAACATAAACCATCAAGCATGTGACTGTGATGTATCTTATTGGGTAAAAGAGCCACTGACCACACAATTGCTGGATGTGTCTCCTATGAAACCACTTAACAGATCTGGCCCTTGCAATCCTTTAAGATTGTGATGGGGGTTTGTTTTAAATTCGTCCCTCGAAAGGAAGATGCATAAAGTTAACATACAGCAGATATTCCAAGAATTCCTTACATATTAAAAATAATTACAAAAATAATATTTTCAAATAACACAAAACAAACCTATACTATGTAAAGTCTTCCTTCTCAAAGAGGTATTCAGATGGTACTGTGAAAGACAGACTAGCTCTAAAAGAAAGATCGAACAAATTGTAATTCTTTGCTGATGGTATCTTCATTCCTGGGTTATGGTGAGCATCCTCTTTTGCTTATCCCTCACCCTACTAAGATGCAGCAATTGCTTGGGGCTTTCTGATACTTAAGGACGCTGGTCCAAGTGGTGATCACTAACATTTTCAGGTGTGAAATGGGCTGAATGGGCTTAGAGCACTAGTTTTCAGTGGGGATCCATTTTTCCAAGAACCACTATTTCAGCCTCCCAACTTGACTTCTAACCCAAAATGGCAGAGGTGAGGCAGGGACCCTCTCCATGAACAGACAGGATGGGAAGAAGGTTGCTGTGGCCTTCACTGGGGAGCAAAATTTTGTCAGCTCTGTCCTGGCCTCTTCCATTGAGCAAGGCACCTTCAAGTCTTGGTGTTCTGAATGTCCAGACACCTTCCCGAAGTCTTGTCTCTGGACAAGATTTCCTATGGGTCCCCTTGATCATTCGGCCTGAGTTTGGGGTTTCTTTTCCTGTTCCCTTTCCCCTTACCAAAAGTTCTCAAAAGATAAACCCTGGTTTCCTCAAGTCTAGTTTCAAAGCATTAAGTGTTCAGGTAGCAAACATCTTCTATCTCATTGCATCAATCTCATGATCACAAATGCCACATTTGGCTCCCAACCTGCTCCAGGCTAATCCAATTTTATGCAAAATTATCCAGAGGTGGGATGGAGGGCATAAGTCGGCTTGAGTGTGGTCCTCCAGTCGAGAACCTCTTGAGCACAGTTAGATAATGTAGGCACTTAAAGCACGAGGTCCAAGCAGCTTGACACATGTCATTCCAGAGCCACCTCTGAAGGGTCCTTCAGAGGCCTTCCTTTTGGAATGTCTCAAATACCATGCCCCACCTCCACCTAGACCTTGGGATGGCCACTCAGAAATTCCTCCCGCACTGCTGGTAAATGCTATGCCAGCTCCACATAGCCTCCATTTGGCTGTTCAGTCTCATGTCACTGGCAATGTGGATTCCTGTTCTGATCTAGGTGTTCCTGGGTTGATACAGGGCTCTACCTTTTGCTTGCAAGACATTGTTAAGCCTTACCATGAGTTTTTTTTAAGCTTTACCATGATTTACGCAAATGTTTACTCCTTGTAAAAAATAATCTTCATTTTGGGGTTATTTTTTGTTGTTTTCTGTTCTAAAAAAAAAAAGTCACTGTTCTCCATGCTTATACTATGAGTGTGTCATGATGTGACACGATGTGTCCACTTGTTCACAGCAGTGGTAACATATTTCAGAGCGCGCAACTGATTTTTCTTCCTCAAAACAAAACAAAGAGGAGACCAGAGGGGGAGGGGGGGAAAGAATGTGTTCTGAGCAAACATAAGTCCTTCCGTCAAAAGCAGCTTACTCTGACCAATGCCCAAAGAATGAGCGGGGCCTGGGAGGTGCATCATGGGATGTGGAGTGTGAGCATTTTTTGTTCAGTTGCCTTAATTTTTACTCACTTTCCAGTCATCTGATTGATATTGCAGACATCTTCACAACATACAAATGTATCTTTTATCAACCAGAATACATATTGAAGGAATTCTTTCCCCATCTCTACTCCCTGTGGGAACTAAAAAACAAAACAAACAAACAAAAAAGAAAACACAAAACAAACAAAAATATACCCCTCCCATCCCCCATCCCCTAAGCCAGTAAAGCAATGACAACAGCACCTTGACATTGTTTTAATTCCAACGCTATCAGAAGTTAAAAGCAGTAAAACAGATATAGTACTAACAAGAACGAAGATACTTACTGTCTAAAATGTAAACGGAATGTTTTGGTTCAAATTTTTGTTGTGTGTGTGTGTGTGTCTGTTTTCTGAAAGAGGACAGTTTATTATCAATTCACAATTAAAGCAGCATGCAATTTATTATTTTTTTTTAAACTTTTTATGTTTTCAATTCTTGGCAACGGCAACAAACCACAACATTATCAAGGAATGTAATGCAGACTTTTTAAAGTTGTGCGCAAATGACTGTTTCCCTTCTGGTCATGGACATGTCCAATAAATAGATTGTAGAACCACTGTACTGTATAAACTTCATTTATACATGCAGTTCATAAAATTATTTTTTTCTTAACTGAATAATTTACCCTGTTATGTATATATACAAATAGATAATTTTTGTCTCAATATAATCTATACAACATAAATCCACTATCTTCCCCTTTTAATGGTCAATGTACATACACAAGAAGTGTCTATCCTTATGAATCGCCAGCCAATTCTCTTTTTGCTATCCATGGTAAGAGCCCGCACATACGACTGGGTAGTTCGGCACTGGGAGTTCCAATGCCTTTTGTCTATGCCCCTGCAGCCTTCTTTTGTGTAACCCATGGGATTGCACTTGGTCTCGTAGAAGTATTGCTTCAGTTGGCCTTTCGATACAGGGACCTTTTCAAGGACTGTGACCGTCCCGCCCGACATGTCCACTGCAGTCTTTTTGTCTGCCGCCGTTACCCACTCGCTAATACTGTCACACACGCTCAGCTCCCCTCGGCGGGCAGGGTCAGAGTGGCGCCGGACCCTCATGGACATGTTTGCAGCATCCAGGTAATTTTTGTATTCCTCCAGCAGAAAGAGAAGAGGAGGCTCCAAAGGCACTTGACTACTGAGCATCACCCTGGACGTGTACAAGTCTGCGTCCTTACTGTTTTCTTCATTGGGCCGAACTTTCTGGTCCTCATCCAACAGCTCTTCTATCACATGTTCAAAAGTGTCAGCCAATGATGTCAGGCCTCTTGAACCTGCCTTGGGCCCATTCACGCTCTCCAGAGTCCCATGGGTCCGCACACCTGGGTAGGCCAAGCCACCTTGTCCTCGGATGTTTGCTTCTTTCATGGGGGCAGCCTTCATGCAACCAAAGTATGAAATAACCATAGTAAGGAAAAGGATGGTCATCACTCTTCTCACCTGGTGGAACTGTAGGGAGAAAGCAGAAACAAGACAAAAAACTGGTTAGGGCTTTCTTTCACTGGGATGCCATGTGGCCCATCTGATTGTAATTCCAGGCCATTCTGCAGGGTCAAGGTTTTTTTATGTCTTGGTGATAAACTCCAGCTGCACCAGACACAAATCAGTGTCAGTAGCGTGCTGTATGTGGTTTAATATAAACCAGAGACGTGCAGTGTTTCCCCAAGATCTAGCATATAAATCTGAGATTAGATAGCTTCTAAGCAAGTGCAAAAATTGTGGCTTCAGGTTCTCCTTCCTCCCACTTTAGCAGCTTTGTAAGTTTAATTTTTAATGATCTCTGTTCATGCTGTCACAAGAAACACAAAATCAGAAATGTTACTAAGCAACAACTGCAAGTGTAATAGTAATTTTTTCCAAGTTAGCAACATGGTCCTTTGCAGGAATGTGTGACAGGAACAGCAGCGGCCTGAGGGGTCTGATGGGCCTTTCTAGCTCTGTGATGTCTAGGCATGAATAGCACAATAAAACAGCAGTTGGGGAACTATAAGGAGCCTTTAAATTGACTTTTCTTTTTCTCTTCCCACAGAGATACTCTATTATAGCAAAGAAGAAAGATAATTTCATTGAGCCATCCTGTTTTACAGATAAGGAAACCAAAGGCCATAGAAGACTTGCCTCATGTCATGAAGAAAGTTTATGTTAGAACTAAGGGCTCCCAATTCCACTGTTCTTTATTCTACACCTGGGTGGTCACAACTGAAAATGTTTTGCTTATTTCTAAACAGAAATCATTTTTGACATGTTCATTTTAATGATGTGTCTATGCCTGGGGCTGATATCATGAAAACAATGTGTCTGGTAAGGAGAAAACTGAAAAAGTCAGCATTAAAAAGGCATTTAAGTCAATTTCAAATGCTTCCCATATGCATACTCCATTTATCTCCTCCAATTCTCTAAAACCCTTCACTCCTTGGCTTTTTCTGGCTAATACATCTAGCTAAGAAAGCTCAACTTTTCTTTTTACTGGAGAAGTGGTCCTGTGTGTGTGTGTGTGCTCTGAGTTTATCCTACTTTTAAAAAGCTGAGTGGTATTTTACACATTTTGGACTAGGCAGCTAGTGCTTCTTTTTCTGCTTTTGAAGTTTCCTGGGAAGTCCCTTAAAAGCATACCACAAAATTAATCTCTTCCTGTTTGCCAGAGGGTTGCTCTACTCTAAATTTGGCTCTACCTCTACAAGCATGCTCTAGGAAGCCAATTAAAATGGATGAACAAGCAAAATGAAAACATACCTATGAACCAACCCAAGGTTACCGTCAGGTGGTGAAGGACTTCAGAATCACTTACCTGAAGTATTATTGTGTCTCTCAGCAGCAAAGAGTAGCATTCCCAGCCCTGACACTAATTTTATTCCTACTTCTCAGTTCTGAGGCATGGACTTACAAAAAGACACATCATGCAATGACCGTCATGCTATCCAAATAAGTAGGAAAAGGAACTGTTTCTGCCCATGAAGTTTTACTGAATTCAAAGGCAACCTACCTCCAGTCAATAGGTCAGAATGCAGAAATGGCTGAAAACTCTGGTATTGAAAAGCAAATATTCTCCACTTTTGTAAGAAATAACATTTTCAACCACTAAGAGACTTTATTACCATCCCTAAACACACAAAAAAATTTATTTTAGATTTACTCTCACTTTGCACGAATAGCAAACATGCTTAGAACTGCTTAGATTGCACAGTGTTCTCAGATTAGGAAGGGCAAATTCGTTTGAATAAAATACAGATGTCTGTTCTGCTAATAACTAAATCTTTGTGAATGTTCTGAGTCCTGTACCATCAAAGAAATAGATCCTCCATGGGGGTTTCTATTTCTGGTAGATGGTACTTACACCACTGAATGAAAAAGGCTTTCTCCTAATATTCTCAGTCCAAATAAAAACAACCCAAGGGGCACCTCTTATTTAGGTCAACAAAAGGTTGCAAATTTGGAATACTTTAGCCATCTACGTCACACTGGTAGAGACTTTCTGTGATCAGCTATTTTTTAATACCATATTTAATCAAATCTAAGATACCATCATTGTGAAACACAACATTTTATATACCACTAAGAAAGCAAAAATGCAGCCTGGGTGACAAGAGTGAAACTCCATCTCAAAAAAAAAAAAAAAAAGAATTAATGAACTATAGTTTAATACACATTTACTAAGTGCCCACACTAACTACTTAAAAATGGTCCAAAGTACTGAGGCATCTTAAGCTGTTGGAATATTGTTTTGTTATCACCACTACAGTAATGAGTCTTTGAATGATACCATTTTCTATACTTGGCTTCTAGTTTATTCTGCCTTTCACTGATCTTATCTTTTTATTAATAACTTTTTTATGAGAAAAATAAGTAATGCTTTCTATGTTGTTTTCTCAGTTCCACAAGCAAATATTTCAGAGGGAAAATTGGCATCTGAGTAAATATTACTTGGCTTTCATTCTGAAGCCCAAACATGGGCATTCCTCAAGCTGAGCATCTGCATACAATTAGGAATTAATAAAATGGTGACAAAGTCCAACCCCACACTGCAAGCCCTGCTCTCTGAGTGGCACTTCTGCAATTCTGTCTACTCACTTGCAAGGCCTTGAAGTCAAATGGGTGCGACACCAAACTCAATACTTTTTGTTAGAACACTGGTATCTCCTACCTTTTCTGTTTCTAACAATGGTTTCCTGCTTTGGGCAACCCAGGCATAGGATAGAAATCCTGGAATCAAGTTTGACAATATATTTCCTGTATAGCCTTCCAATCTAGTCAGTAAAGATGTCCTGTTAATTTTTCCTTTAAAATATTTCTCCTGGCCATCCCTTTTTATCCATCCCACTGCCACCATCTTGGCTCAGCCCTCACCACCTCATTTTGTGACCACAACATCTCCATGCTGTATCAGACACTCCTTCTGCTCCATTCAACTCTGATGACCACTTCCTGGCTAACCACTCTCATATTATTATACTCTTACACAAAAACTGGCAATGGCTTTTTGTTCTATCTGCTCAAATCTAATGTCTTCTCTCTGATATTCAACACTCTCCAAAATCTGCCCTCACCCTTCTTAGCTAACTTTCTCAAACTACTCAATGCTTCATCACTTCCAGTCTGATCAGGACAGAGCCCTTAGAGTGCCATACACATTACTGCCTCCTGACTTATTCCATTCTTCTGACAAACTCTTCTCTCTCCCCCTCGCTCGCTGCCTAAATCTTGCTTATCCTTCATAATCCAGTTCAAACATCAAATCATACATGCCCCTTTTTCTAATTACTCCAGCATACACTGCCTGCCTTCCCTAAAATTCCACATCTTGCGTAGTACTTGATTCCCTTCTCACTTGTTTTTTTGTTTGTTTGTTTTGTTTGTTTTGTTTTTTGTTTTTTCCCGAGACAGAGTCTTGCTCTGTTGCCCAGGCTGGAGTGCAATGGTGTGATCTCAGCTCACTGCATTCTCCGCCTCCTGGGTTCAAGCAATTCTCCTGCCTCAATCTCCCAGCTAGCTAGGATTACAGGCACCCACCAAAATGCCTGGCTAATTTTTGTGTTTTTAGTAGAGATGGGGTTTCACCATGTTGGCCAGGCTGGCCTGCTCACTTGTTAATTGTTAACCATATTTGCTCATTCTGGTCAGTCTTCAGCTGGAAGGTAAGTTCTTTGAGGGAATGGATCATGTCTGAGCCCCCAAAATGCTTAACTGAGAAAAATGTAATAGCAGTACTCAGTAAAAACTTACTTATAGGTTTATAAAACTAAGAGAAAAGACAGTTTGAATATAATTTTCGTAAGAAGGCTTTTCATTTGGAAAGATCAGTGAACTCATTGAAATTCTTAGGTAAATATAGGCTGTGCTAACCCCAAATTATAAACTCTAAGGCAGCAGTCCCAACCTTTTTGGCACCAGGAACCAGTTTTGTGGAAGACAATTTTTCCACGGTCTGGGGGTAGCAGGGGGGATGGTTTTGGGATGAAACAGTTCCACCTTAGATCATCAATTAAATTCTCATAAGGAGTTGGGTTCTCATAAGAAGCATGCAACCTAGATCCCTTGTATGTACAGTTCACAATAGGGCTCACGCTCCTATGAGAATCTAACGCCACTGCTGATCTGAAAGAAGACAGAGCTCAGATGGCAATGCTTGCTCGCCCACCACTCACTTCCTACTGTGCAGCCTGGTTCCTAACAGGCCAGGGACTGGTAACAATCCATGGCCTGGGGGTTGGGGACCCCTGCTCTAAGGAATTTGACAGATGGCAATTATCAGCCACAACCAACTTCTTGAGTTCCTTTAATGGGATAAAACTTTACTTGAATAATTAAAAAGCAGATAACACTACCACATACTAGCTGTCCTACTATTTCCTGTGTAGCTCTGTTTCTAACAGATCAATAAGAGACTTGGGAAGTAATCAGTAATAGTAATAACAATAATAGCAAAATTTGTAGTTTTCAGCCTTTTAATTTCCTACTATTCTGCTGAGCTTTCAATGAGTAATTTTATATACTGTATTAGGAAATAATCAAAGATTAAACAACAGCTTCCAGGACAATTTTCATTTTCAGCCTTCGGATGACTCTTTATCACACATAAGATAAAGAGGCTGTGCAGTATTGCTAAGTAGATTATATATTTATTTATACTTAATAAATTCATTGATGCTGTCTAATTCTGCTTTAAGGCTTACAACCATTAATTCAACCACATCTATAAAATGCTAGGAAGGCTTTCTTAGCCCCACTCTCAGGAAATTCAATATAGTACATAGAACTAAAAAGAAAATCAATGAAGTAGATATCAAGTTTAGCTTTAATCATGACTCACAAGTCTTAGACATTTCACTGAAGGAATATCCATAACAACATGCTCTTTTACTCTTGCTGTAGTCGTAACTTACATTTGTCTAAGAGACTACAGAACATTCACAGGCATCATCTAATTTGATTTTTACAAGGGGACAGGATGGGTATTATTATCCCCATTACATAGATGAGGCAATTATGCGTCAGAGAGGTTAGGTAACCTGTCAAATGTCGTAAAGCTAATAGGTTACCTGTCTCCTGAACCAAGCTTTTACCATCAGGATGTGCTGCCAGTTTTAGAATATCAGCCACAGAGAAGAGAGTGGCTATGACAACGAAGGAGCTTACAAAATGTGGACACAGTTTTCTGCAGCTATGTGTGTCCTGGAACCCAACTTTCTAAAGGGAGTGCCATTAAGATACCACTTTGTAGGGCTGGATTAATCATGACCAAGATCCTTCAACTTTAAGGCTTAATTACTTCAATGGATGAAATTTCAGACAATGTGATCTTTTTCTAAGAGAGAGAATTACAAAAATTTTAGCATGTTAGGACTAAGTTTCTATGGCCAAAGCTGGGAAAACAAACAACAGTACAGATAATTCAGGCATACAGAAAAGAAAAAAAAAAGTCTTGTTTGTTCCCAGCCCCTTTGGGTTTTACCTGTGAGCATGTAATCAGAGAAAACACAGTTTAAAGATATGGCTGCTCATTTGAGACAGTCCTATAAAGATAATGGTAATGCTGAAGAAGTTATTAGTATTTCATTCCTAACATATATGATACAAACGATTAAGAGTTGACCTTAATGAAATCTTGCAAATCAATATTTAAAAATCTTTAATTTGCATCCAGTTGACTATATCCATATGTTAGGCTTCCTTTTGTTCATTCATTCATCACACATGAAGTCTACTTTCCAGTCTTATGGTCTAGGAGGGAGGTAGGATATATGTAATATGTAACTAGAATATAAAGGTAGAAATGACCTAGAAAAAGTACAGATAAAATTTTATAAAGAGAAATAAGTTACTTCCAGTTAGGGAATAAAGGAATACATTGTCAAGAAGTTTGCAAAGGGCCAGGTGCAGTGGCTCACACTTGTAATCCCAACATTTTGGGAGGCCGAGGTGGGAGGATCGCTTGAGCCCAGGAATTCATTATCAGCCTGGGCAACACAGTGAGACCAGGTCTCTACAAAAACTTAAAAATTAGTCAGATGTGGTGGTGCACAACTGTAGTCCCAGCTACCTGGGAGGCTGAGGTGGGAGGATCACTTGAGTCCAAGAAGTTGAGGCTGCAGTGAGCCATGATCATGTCACTGCACTCCAGCTTGGGCAACAGACTCTATCTCAAAAATAAATAAATAAATAAATAAGAAAGAAGATTGTAAAGAGTCTGAATGTACCCTACAGTGGGTGAATGGCAGCTTAATGAATGGCAGGAAGGTGGGAGGGCATAGAGTAAATGTCTGGAGAGAAGAGTGTGGAATGGGAACAGTGAAAAATAAGACTGAATGACTGCCAGATTTTGAAAGCCTCTGGGGGATGCCAAAGAGTTTGGATGTTGCCATATGGGCGCCAAAGAGCCAATGAGAGTTTCTGAGCATGGGAATGCTGCAAGAAGACCAGTTTATCATCATGTGAAGGAAGACCTGAAAAAAAATGATACACTAGAAGAAAATAATTGGCTGACTTTACTCTTAGTGACTGTGGAGCTTTAAAAACAAATATTAAGTAGTTACTTAAATGTGGGGTTAAAGGCCTGGCTATATATTTTTAATTAATTAATCCATTTATTTATTTATAAGCTGAAGTGAGTTGCAAAAAGAAAAGTGGTCGAGAGAGTGTGCGGAGCTGAGTAGTAACCATCAGTAACATCTGGGTTGGCAGAAAGAACAAGATAGACAAAAACGGAGGAAAGGTGGTACCACAAACTGATTCCAATTATAATTACAAAGAATTTTGATTACATTGCTCAGTACTTTTAATTTAAATATCTCCAAACACTTTGCAAATATTAACTGATTAAAACTCAGAAGACTCTAGAGATGTACGTAACTATAATTATCCTCATTTGGTATAGGAGGAGAGAGGACAAGAGTTTTTAATCAACTCATCTACTCACTGTGGTTCCCTTGACAGAACAAGTTCAGAACCCCAGATTCCAAAGGAAACTAGGCCTTAAACTATAGGGACTGGTTTGTTTCATTCCTCTATATTATTTCCACATTATTTTCCCATCATATATGTATTGCTTAGCCAAGAAGACTAAAACAAGAAAACACCACCACAACAAAAACCACCCACACATTCCTCAAAGAAAATAATTAGCCATTGAAATCTATAAATAAAATGAAAAAAAAAAAAAAGTAATGGTCATCACAGATACTCACCTACTTATCCGGATGGCCATTCACGTGAAATTAATAAATATTTCAGTAAATGATATCTGAAAATGCAGATATTCCAAAGCTTTGCAGCTACCTTTAAAAATATAGTTTTTAGCCATAATGTAGCTTATGTCTGAGAACATCCAAATACATGTCCTACAAAACACAGTCCTTCATACCACAGTATACTCTAAGCCCCTGGTATGTCTGTGGTGTTGATTGATACTTGCAGACATCACTTAAACTCACTAAGAGTTTCAGAGAAATTGCTGATTCTTAATTCATATCTGAAGTGATACCTACACGTAACTACCATAAGAAAAAATGTATAATTTCCAGAGTCTTTAATTTGATGGATAAATTTATATGCATCTTTGTTAGAAAGCACCATAGCTCTGACCCTCTGTTACTTCCCACTACACCCCTACTCCCCATCTCTGAAAATATAAGGATTTTTTTTTATTGGCAGATGCTCTACCTTTCTTCAAGAGTAAATTTAAAATGCCTGTGTTACAAAGACACTTGTTTTTGCTTGATAAGGAGCAAAGGATAAGGATTCACATTGGATATTCTCCTCTGAATAAGCAACTAGAACAATTTGTACAGTACCATGTACAAACTAAGTACTCAATTCTCCTTGTGCTAGAAATATTTGTAAAGTATTTAGGGAAGTGCAATTAAACTAAGAGCAGTAAGTCTTAAGGTAAATTGAAATTTTGTCATTAATTTTGGAATAAACAATAAAAAATGCCCGGCACAAGGGCCAGAACTGGGCAGAGAACATCCCATCTGGCCTCCTGACCCCAGGCACTTAGTGCTTCCATCAAGAGAAAGAAGTTACTTCCAGTTAGGGAATAAAGGAATGCATCGTCAAGAAGGTTGCAAAGGGCCAGATGCAGTGGCTCACATTTGTAATCCCAACACTTTGGGAGGCCGAGGCGGGAGGATCACTAGAGCCCAGGAATTCAAGATCAACCTGGGCAACACAGTGAGACCATGTCTCTACAAAAACTTAAAAATTAAAAAAAAAAAGGTGTGGTGCACACCTATAGTATCAGCTACTTGGGAGGCTGAGGTAGGAGGATTACTTGAGTCTAAGAAGTTGAGACTACAGTGAGTGCTTGATCATGCCACTGAACTCCAGCCTGGGCGACAGAGACACCTCGTTGCCACCTAGCGAACAGAACTGTTTCTTTACTTGAACCACAT